GGTTGTTATACTACCTGTCCTTAAATGGATTTACTCCCTTGTATTTATCATGATAACTATTGTTAGGCATGTTTGTTTTGTGAAATATCTTAAAAGGTTCGTGGGAAGTAGTCACAACCAGGCAATCACTAACATTAACATGTTGTATTGAGCATATAGTCCAGTTTAGTAACTGTGTTATGTTTTTAAACACCTCATCAGTAGTATTCCATTTATTCCAATCTATTTTAAACATTTCTTTCCATAATCGAACATTCTGTTGTTGTCCTTTTAGTGCGGTGGGCATCCATTGTGCCACCAAATCAAGTCCCGCCGATGTTGATTGTCCAGTGTAGTATAGCTTACTAGTAGTGATCTGTCCATCAACCATGTTGCTTAATCCCAATAACGTTCCTGACCCTCCCAAAATGGTATCGTACCAGACCCGCTTTTGACGAGGGCATGGTGGAAAGGGTGGAAAGTTAACCGTCCAGTGTACTTTAGTTTTAGTCAATCCAGTTGCCAAAGGTTGGCACTACTTGTGCTGGGTCCGGTCGAGAAGTGGCTGGCACCACTTCTATTTTCATCCCATATATTGTTCTGTTCACAATGGCGGAAGCATTGACCAACCAGACCGCCATGTCAGATTCAGATACGGTTATGTTCCATTCAGTGCCGTTATGCCGCTCCACACGTTGTCTTACAGTCAGATTGTATAAACACAACGATACATTGCTGGAGATATGTATTATGCAGTCCGGGCTTACGACTGGTATCACATGACCTCTTTGTCGATAACTGAATAGCGTGCAGTTAGTCCGTACTCGGGTGGTGATACACGCACGGTTCGCCTCGCAGGTGAAGTTATCTTGTATCCTTATCAGGGTGCCATTTTTCCAGCCAAATCGAAATTCTTTAATTTGATGCAATTGATGTCCCATTACTTCTCCTTTAACGTATGGGATCATAGCCATCCCAGCCATGCAGCGATGTCACCCAGGCACATGGCCCATGAGCCTGCACCACAGTGTCCGAGGAGGGCCATACCTCCGCCGGGGTGGGCAGCCACGTGCTGGTCGTCTGCCAATCAACAGGGTCCACCAGGGCATCCCTGTTAACATAAAGCACTCCAGAACATGTTAACCTATTGCCTGGGGTAGCATTTGTCCCCAGGCACATTTACCCAGGGTTCTTATCCTGGGTACATTACGGTAACTATTTTTGTCATTACCTTGGGCTATAATTTCTGCCGCTTTAGGAGGCCCCTGAGGCTGTTTTACCCATACTTTAGCCCCAGTCTTATCAGTTGAGCCAAATCCTCCCTCTCCCCGCCCTGTCAAGTGCGTGGGAGGTTGGATTTCAACTGGAGTGGACATGTCACAAGGTTTTATTAACAACTGAGCAATTTTGTCTCCTTTGTTAATTACAAATGGTTCAGATTTAATATTTTGCAATACTACTCCAATTTCTCTTTGATAATCACTATCAATTACTCCTGCCAGAACGGTTACACCTTTAAGGGACAGTCCCGATCTGGGGAGGATGTGTCTGTACGTTTCAGTAGGGCACTGTAGGCCTAAGCCTATTTTTATTACAGTCGGAGCGTTTTGTAGAAGAGTGACAGTGTCCATTAATACCAAATCTAGATTCGCACCGCTTCAAGCAGGTGCTGTTTCCAATTGGACAGTGAGTTATCAACTGACAATTTTTCAAGGTTCCTTTCAACAACCCATTCATTCTCTCAATCAAACCAGCCACTTGGGGATGATATGGCACATGATATACTGTTCAATCAATTGCAAACATTTAAGCGTCGAGTTTTGGTTAGCAAATTTACACGGGTGTACTACAACTACGCCTGAATAAGTGTCTACAGCGGTAATTGAGTTTCGCCAGTGCAGTTCCACCGGCACATGAGGGCGGACGTCGTCTAACGACCATCTCATTGCCCTTATGCCCAGGGCCTGGCCACCTCCCTAATCTTAATAGCCTCTACGCACGTCCTCCAGATCAGGATACAATCCTGGCTTCCACTGTTTTCTGATTTTTCTCTGCTCCCTACGTTGCTTATCCAATAAGGGACGCATTTGATCAGGCACCACTTGCTGCACCTTACGGCGCCTGATCACTGGGCGAGCTACTGCCCCTCCGGGTGCAGGCTCATCATCACTCCAGATATTACCATCCCAGGTTTCTGGGTCCCAGTCCTCAGCCTCAACTTTTGCAATAAAAGCGCGAACCTGGGGCCGTGTCATGTCGCGAGGCGCCTTACGCCTGGCCTGTCTATGCTGTTTAGAAACTCTTCCTACAGCTTTCTCTGCCATTCGGGCGAGTCTTTCTACTTGTGACTCTAGCTCCGCATTTCTCTCCTGTAAATACCGCGCGTACTGTGCCTGCTGCTTCCATGCATGTGCGCAAATCCACATGCGCCTTCGTACTCCGGCCAGCGGAGCCCTTTTGTCAGGAATCACCCCCTGCAAGGTAGTCAACACAGCCTGGACATCCCCGGTCTGTACACCAGGTCCCCAGTCACCAGGGGTCCCCCCCTGGTCCAACAAACATGTATACACGGGCTGCCACAGCCCGGTCCAACCCGTCCCCATCTGCGGGGCGGTCTCCTCAGGCATTTTCTTGTTTCGTGAAAACATAGTGAATCTTCCCCTTTAATTTAGAATCCTGCCGACAACGCCAAAAATGTTTTGTGAAATATCTTAAAAGGTTCGTGGGAAGTAGTCACAACCAGGCAATCACTATTTCACATCAATCAATGCCAGCACACAATGAAGCTAGAGTAAACGTGTCTGTTTATTCCCCGCTTAACATTGTTACAACAAGCTAGAATAAATGTGCCTGTTTATTCCCCGCTCAACATTGTTACAATGAAGCTAGAACAAATGTGTCCGTTTACTCCCCGCTTAACATTGCAACACACACAATGAGGCTAGAATAAATGTGTCCGTTTATTCCCCGCTCAACATTGCAATCATCACACAATGAGGCTAGAATAAATATGTCCGTTTATTCCCCGCTCAACATTGTTACAATCATATCA